ACACCGGAAAACCGTTTCAGGAGATGGAAGTTCGTCCTTAAATTGTTTTGCAATGCGCACTAAAATTATAGGTGATAAAACCCTATTCAGATTGCAGCGCGAATGTGCAGAACCGTTAGGGGCCCGTAACCGAACACCGGAAATCACAGTATACCAGACAGTGTGTGCTGATCAAAACCGACTGAACGATTTATTGAAAGTTATGTGAAAACAAATGGATCAATTAAATAATGGGCTAAAACTGGGTTGAGGTAGGTCACGAATAGCCCGGAAGGGTATTGGCCAGTGTCTTCCATGGACAACCGCGTCATGTGATTGGAGCGGACGGATGTTCCACAAACGCCAAAATCACCTATCCCCCAGTTAGAGCCATGTGGTCATTAAAAGACCTCTCGAGTTTGACCGCTTTTGTTATTGCAGTTGTTTACCGAAACCGATGGATACATACCCTATGACCGGTGTTGGTCTACACTGGTGCAGCCGCTGAGTCATGACCTTAGTGACTGATACGGCTCGTGATGCCACAACGTGACTAACACCGAAGAATTGCGTCACTCGAAATACAGTGCAATGGCTCTATCGTTTCACATTGTCTTGCCTCTCTCATCCGTGACCTGAAACAATTATATGCCCTCTGACGGTCCCTATGATCTGATTAAATCATTTTCCGCGATTTGCGCAGTTTGCATTTCTTCAACCTGAAACGAGACTGTCTGATCACCCTTTCGCAATGTTGGTGATGCTCACGGTTGTAACGCCTGCTCGAATCAGCTTAGAACAACACGGTTCGTATTTTAGACCAGTCCAATTTTACCACAATATCATCACTTTAGATTTTCCATTGTGATTCCTTCAATTTTTGGCTAAATATTTTAAAGTTTGCTTCAATGGTTTGACTTGGGGCGATCTTTTAATATGATATGCGTTTGCAGACCCGCATAAAAAATGGTGTCTTTATCTTGTCAAGTGTTGTCACAACTTCATTATCGCATCAAAATTTTCCATTCCGAATAGGCCAGATTATGTATCCTTTCATAAATGAGTCTCCTGTGATGATTATCTGGCAACGCTTTAGCCGCTTCAGATTCATAACTTATCCCCCTGTGCGGGTCCGACAATCACAGGATCGATCGGGTTTATTCGTCGATCGGTCGGATTGTTCAGGTGCACCTAGGGTGGTCACACTTGCCCACATTGCCTACAGCTCCGAGTCTTTTGTATGCCCAGTGAATTTGGATTGTGCACAGCAGGAGTGTCATCATCACACGACTAAACAGCAGATGATAACCGAAGCATCATCAATATTGCGACAATCTCGTTTAAATGGCACAAATCGCCGAAATTGATCCAATCAGATTGCCGAGAGGGTCAGAGAGCATTAAATTGTTTCAGGTCACCAGTGAAAGGACAGGACTATGTGGAGTGATGGAACAATCGCACTGCAATATGGGGTTCATGCAACCCAGGTTGTAGTTGTGGTGATGACCTTTGGCGATTGAGTTGTACTATTTCGGAATACAAAACGCCGAAATCGTTTTCTTGATGAAAAACATGACCGGACATAACGGTCAAGACAAAATAAATGAGGCAGACTAATTGTGTGCCCATGACGTCTTGTCACCTTCATCGGTGGATCCACGTTTCATTCTATGAAATACCGTTCCGAATAGTACGGGTTCACAACCAATCTGATGGAGCTGGAGGCTTTTATAGGTCGTGGTCAATTAGCAAACAATGAAGCGATCAATGTGGAATTCACTCAGTCCGGGGTACAAAACCATACCTTGGAGCTTTTGGTTGTGCGATAACGAATGGATGCTCAGAGGTGAGGGACGCAGTACTACATAGTACGACAGCACTAACCTACAGAGGATACAGCACTAAAACAGATAATGCTTTCACAACCCCGAAATTAAATAGCGTACGAAGTGAACGAGGAATAGCTCGATGTTGCAGCCTCAACATTGAGGAATTACTGCACGTAAGCCTCGGGGACGCAGAAGGAATCACGTGAGAACACCTTACTATAATGCTTGAACACGGGCTAAGACAACCGTATATTTTTACACTTCGATCTGGTCTTTGTACAGTTGCCTCACACACAGGCACTCACTAAACAAAAATGAAAAAATGTACTACCCGGAGCTGTAGTAGCAGGTCCGACTTGTAACATTATTTTGTGGAACATGTTGCTCAATGTCAGCAAAGGAAATGCGCTTTTCGCAAAGCAACCTCTTTGGAACGTACAGATCAATGGTATATTTTTGAAAGCGTGATATTGTTTTATTTATTGATTATTCTTTAATATCGCTTTGCAACGGACAATTTATTGACAATTCATTTGATTGACTCAATCAAAAGCGATACTCCACACAGTTATCACTCCAACTGTCAATGCTGGTACTCAGTGTTGACCAAACTATGGGTTCCATGATGGCACACCAGTCACGAAAGTGCTTATTTTCGTTGCTTCTCTATGTCACAATGTAGCTTTGATAAAATGATCGGC